TAAAACTCATTGAACGGTTCGCTTAAAATGGGTGAATTTGGTAGTATGTAAATTGTACCTCAATAAAGCTAATAAAAACAAAACCCACTGCCAAGGAGGTGAAGCATCCCCACCCTCCCCCCAAACGTGGCTGCACTGCCGTGTGGGATGGGGGAGGGGAAGCCCATCGCAGCAGAGAAACCTGACGAACACTCTGTCAGCCAGGCGGTCGCGGTCGCCGTGAGCAGTGACAGGTCACGTGCTAGGACGTACCCTTGACAGGATGGGATGAAGATGGCACTTCACCTCTGTGATCTCCCTCCCAGAAACCATAACCCCCGTCTAACCACAAGGAAAATTCCACCAGAGGGGTGGATCCTACTAAATACCTAACTAGCTGTCTTCCAAGCTGTCAAGGGCATCAAAACCAGCAAAAATTCAAGAGACTGCCACAGCCAAGAGGAGTCCAGAGAGACATGTGGGATCCCGGATGGGATCCTGGAACAGAAAAAGGACATTAGGTACCAGCTGAGGAAATCTGAAAAGCAGAGGGACTTTCGTTAGTAACGATGCACCCACATTGGCTCATCCCTTGTGACAAATGGGCCATCGTCATGGAAGATGCTAAGATGCAGGAGAAACCAGGTTTGGGATATATGAGAACCTCTATACTACCTTCACAACCTCTCTGTTGGAAAAAACGATTTTTAATTCATATTAAAAAAATGTTTTTCCTGAGTTTCTCAAACCAAGTCCCCCCTGTTCTATGTCACCCTAGACTACTGATTAAATGAGGTGTTTAACGTACCACCATGTGCAGTTATGTCTGTGTGCTCTGCTCACTGTATCCTTGGGTACAAGGGTCGGGCCTGGTTCTTGACTGGCGCTTAGCAACAAACTGAGTGCAGGTCAGAGAACACGAATCCCAGGACAAGAGAATTCTTCTGGGGCGTCCTCTACTGCATCCTCATCCCCTGGAGGTGCCTGGACACGGGGACACTCAACAAAGTCTTCTCCCCAAGGTGAGCCAAGGGATCCTTGCCCTGGTGGTTGGTTTGAGTCTGGGATAAAGACACGTTAGCTCAATCTGCCTGGTTTCTTTGGTAAAGCCTTGGGAGAATTGATGGCTGCCACGTGTCCCTTGATGAGCTGAGCGCACCGGGGACTGGTCCATAAGAGAGAAGTGAGGCCAACACTCAGAGCGAAGGACAAGGGACCGAGCGAGAGGCCCCTGGGGTCCCCACCTGGGCCGCCCTGTCTGGCTCCTAGAACGCCTGGGATCCTCTGTGTCCTGGGAGGCCTCCTGCTGTGTGAAGTCCAGTGACCTTGGCCATGAGGTCCTGCTGCTAGTTCGACTTCACCGAGACTTTATCTGGGTCGTGTTTGTCTAGCCGGTGCTTCTGTCATGAAAGATGCTGAGGCAAGTTCATGTGGGAAACATCACCGGGGCTGGAGAGAAGGAAAAAGGACAACAGAGCAGAAGTGGGGACCAGAAGAGGAAAGCGGGTGCTGGAAAAGGGAGGAAGAGAAAGAACTGGAAAGAAATGAACATGGCCTGAAACACACACAGAAACAACGAAGGTACGGGTTTCAGAGGGTTGTGAATTCATCCGTTCAGCAATTATGTCCTAAGCACCTACTCTGAGCCCGGACCCACGCCAGGCGTCAGGAACACAGGACTCCACGAGACCGAGCAATTGAGCAGCCTCAAGGAACCTGTCTCCTGGCGGGGGCTGCGGGAGGAGGGCGGGAAGTACACCAACAAAGAATTAAACAAAGGAGATACGGGAGCCTGGTGAGTGTTCACACAGCAAGTGAAAATAGTGTGGCTGGCAGAAGAGTACAGCTCAAGCAGTAGAGCGTGTGCTTAGCACGCACGAGGTCCTGGGTTCCATCCCCCGTACCTCCTCTAAGAATAAACAAACAAACCTAAGTACTTTCCCCACCAAAAACAACAACATCAACAGAGTGTGACTGAGAGGTCCCTTTATATTGGTGGATCAGGGAAAGTGACATTTTTTGACATTTAAATTGCTCTCTGAAGGACAAGAAGGTGCCAGAAGGGTGAAGGCGGTGGAAAGGGAGGCAATGATCCAACCAGAGGGAGGAAACAGTGTCCTAAGTTTCCAAAGAATGTTCTGAGGAATAGGGAAGGGGTGGCCCCTGGGGAACATCTGGTAATGTCCGGGGACATTCTGTCCTCACAAGGGGGTGGCGGGGACAGTGCCGGTGGCACCTAATGGTTAGAGCCAGGGGTGCTGCCAAACTCCCACAGTGCAGGGGACAAACCCCTGTGCAAAGGATTGTCCAAAATGACAGCGGTGCGGGGGAGGGCAGAGCTCAGTGGTGGCCAGCCTGCCTAGCATACACAAGGTCCCGGGTTCAAGCCACCACACCTCCATTAAAAAACAAAAACAAATAAATAAGTAAAGCTAAGTTTTAAAAAAAGACAACAAACAAACAAACCCCAACCCAAAAATGTCAATGATGCCAAGAGATGGAGAGATCCTGCCCAGAGGCCATTGCAGGCTTGGCATCTTCTGGGTGTAGGAGGCAGGACACCACGCCCGGAGAAGAGCAGAGGAAAGGGCAGGGCTGGGAGCGAGCCTGCTTTGCCGGTCTTGGAGAGGAGCTGACATCTCACTGTAAGTGTGGCGAGGAGCCCATGAAGGTTTTTAAACTGGGCAGTGAACATGGACTCCCTGATTTTTGGAAACGATGACTCTGGCTCTCATGTGGAACATGGCAGGAGGGGCAAATGTGAGCGAAAGAGACCAGATGGGGGGTTTTAAGAGGGAGGCGATGGCGGCTTGGGTGTTCCTAACAGCAGGCGAGTCAGTGAGGAGTGGAGGCTGGTTTTAGAGGTGGGGCTCACGGGTCTTGCTGATGAAGGGAAGGTGGAGGGTAAGGAGAAAACAGAACTTCAGAGTTTATGGAAGGATTCATGGGCAGCTACATGGGCATGTGGCCAGGGCTGACAGCCGTCCCCACCCTGGGCTAGGGGGGACCTCAGTGGAGGCTCTCAGGTCAAGGTCCTGGGCACATCCCAGCACGAAGGCAGCAATTCCCCTGGGATGGCTGGTCCACTGTGGGTTGGGGCACAGACCTGTAAGAAGAGGGGACTGGCTTCCCTGCTCTTGGCTTGGGCTCCCCGCCTTCATCTTGCACCAGACCTGGTAAATTATGCAGCTGGTGCTGCTTGAAGCTTTCCATTTTGAGCAACAAGATGCTCAGTGCCATGTACCAAACTGGGGAAGAGCAAGGTCAAGAGGTGCAGTTTGCGACACATTTAAACTCAAGATGCCTGCGAGACACCTCACTGACGAGATCGAGGAGGCAACTGCCTACCTGCAGCTCAGGAAAGGTATAAAGTTGTAGATAGAAAGCTGGCCCCCATCAGCCTGTAGCTAGTGCTTAAAGCCATGAGAATGATGGTGCAGCTGTTGTGAAAAGCACTAGGATGGTTCCTAAAGAAATTAAACATAGAGTTACCCTATAATCCAGCAATCCCACTTCTAGGGATGTATCCCAAAGAAGTGAAAGCCGGACGCGTCTGCATATTGGCACAGCCAAGTTCACAGCAGTGTTATTCACAAGAGCTGAAATGTGGAAGCAACCACTCTGTCCATTTACAGATGAATGAATGAACACAACATGGTGCACACACACAAGGTGACTTTATTCAGCCTTAAAAAGGAAGGAAATTCTGGTGGAGGGGTAGGATATAGCCCAGGGGTAGAGTGTGTGCCCAGCATGCACCAGGTCCTGAGTTCAATCCCCAGTACTGTCATTAAAATCAATAAATTATCCTTAATAATTCTGCCTAATAAAACTGAAAAAGAAAACAAAATTCTATTTAAAAATTTTAAAAATCAATAAATTAATTTTAAAAGCCTAATTACCTCCCCCAAAATAAAATAAATAAATAAAAATTAAAATAAATAAATTAATTAAAAATTTTAAAATACATAAATAAAAATTAAATTTAAAAAAAGGAAGGAAATTCTGACACAGGCTATGCCACGGATGAAACTTGAGGTCATTCTGCTAAGCAGAAGCCAGTCACAAAAAAAACAATACTGTATGATTCCACTTTTATGAGGAACCTCATTAGTTAAATTCATAGAACAGGGGTCACCAGGGTTGGGGAGAGAGGGAGACAGGGAGTTATTGCTTAATAAGTAGAGGGTTTCAGTTTTGCAAGATGAAGGAGTTCTGGAGGTGGATGGTGGTGATGGTTGCACAAAAATGTGAAAGCACTTAACTGAACTGTGCACTCAAAAATGGTTAAAATGGTAAATTGTATGTTATGTATATTTGATCACAATAAAAAAAAGAACGTAATTATTATTATTTATTGACTATTTCCTTTATGCACAGCACTGTTCTAAATTTTTCCTTGTTTAAAACTCATACGACCCCTCATAAGAATCTGTTAAGGTAGGTATGACATCATCAAACCTCTTTTTACAAACAAGGAAACTACTGACCAGAGATGTTAAGTAACAGGCCTAAGCTCACACAGCTTCTCACTGGATGAGCTAGGATTTAGACTCAGGCAGTCTGGTTCCTAAGCCCACGCAAATTTTTTTTTAAGACTGTGCTACGTGCCAACGGACATTATTGCATGTACTATAAGAATCCATGTTTCACAATAAAACACTAACTTTTAAAATTAAAGGCTGAGTTTGCAGCCCACAAGCAGCTAGGTTCCGGCCTTTCACCATATTCCAACATCGCTTCCCAGCACGGGGCCTGAAGGGGTAGAAACCAGAAGGGATAAGAAATCATCCAGCACTAATCATTTTATCACCTCCGAAAAAATTGCTGTATGAGCAGAGACACCCTCAGGCAACAAATGCCAGGGGACCCCCTGCTGCGTGTGAAAAGGCCAGGGTTACCCACAGCCCCTTTCCTGGTCCTTAGGAGGAGTCAGCCTGGACTCAGCCGGGCCTCCCCCCAGGACAGGTAGGCCGCGGAGAGAGAGTTGCTGCTCCTTGGCGCTGGAGAGAGATGGTTACTTCTGTGATTTTCTCAGTTGATCCATCATGTTATCACTTAAACCTCTCAGACAGAAGCAGCCGAAGCAACCCCAGGCCTGCAGCGGGGACACATGCAGTGGTCGGACCCCGTTATTCAGAAGTTCTTACTGAGGAAGCAACGTTAGAGCCGCTGGCAGAGTAGAGCGCGCACCGCGCGTGCAGATTCGGTTGCGGGGTCAGCGTTCCTTGGCTCAGAAACACATCCCACACTGTTGGGAGCCCATGGCGCTGCACAGGCCCAGGCCACTGAAATGGAGGAAAAGCAGGAAAGGCTGGATAACAAGGATACCGAATGTCTTCTCGGCTCAGGTCCCGAGCAGTGGGAAGAGGGGGTGCAGCCTTAGAGTTATCTCGAGGGCAGAACCCACAGATCTGAATGACTCCCTCAGCCCCACGGAGGCCCAGGCAGGGCCAGGCCCCAGAGCCGTGAGCAGGCAGCCCCCCTTCCTCAAGCTCCTGTTAGGTGTGGACCTGGCCCGGTGGAACTGAACTTGACCCACTG